AAATAATAAATTGGCGAATCAATCTATTATCAAAACCATTAAATTTGTCTTCTCTTCTTACAGTACTCGATTGCAGTATTTACAGTATCAGCGATACCTGCTCGAGCTCGTGGAACTCTGGATGATCCACGAGAGGATGACCACGCAACGTCTGGCGACAACCCTGAAAAGAACTTCGCCCTACTCGACCAGTGAATATTGCAGCAGCCATTAAACGCAGAGACCTTTCCCCACTTTTTTCGTGTTTGTTAATTTTTCAAATGTCCCGCTACCCACGATCCTATAAGCATTCGCTATGAGGATTTCCGTACCACGACTACCCTCGTTTCGGCCACCTTTCATTGTCCGACCATGCTTTGATCATCTTGGCGAGGGTGGAACGCGTCACGCGTGCTCTCCTACGTTTTATAAATATAATTTCACCCTTGGCTGGGCTTCGCCGTTGCGAGAGAGGGTTATTCTATAGCGTATCGAGGGTGAAATTGGTTTCTTTTGCTGCCTACTTTGTCTTCGATTACGATCCGTAATGGCGCTGGACGAAAACACAACGAAACATTTGACGATTATTAATTCTTCAATCTTTGAATAAATATCGTAGGCTTATAGGTCAATCAATAGAGCATTTTTGTGTGACAAAAATAGTAACAGCAAACCGATTGTGCAGTTACATAAAATGGGATGCGTACATTAATAAGTATATGTTTTTCACTCCCAACTCTGTTCCGTTTTCTTGTTATTTACAATTGAATGCTAAAAAATCGTGATTATTGTCGTTTTTTGCTTATAAATTTTAAACTAATGCAGCAATATCAATGCTCCAATGAGATAAAATGTAGGTGATGAAAATACCTACAGAATGAGACCTCGAACGTTTCGATCGGATAATGCGGAACAGAGAAAAATCTGAGTAACCGGAAAATTCGGCGTTTTTTCAAAAATTCGTATCCCCGCCATTTTTTAAACTGGAGCGCCTTTTTTACACATAAAGAACATATCAATCACTATTTGCTCCAAAAAGGCCAGCGCTTCAGTAATGCGAGGAATTGCTTAAGTATAAGATAGTATTAAATGTAGAAAATAAAATATAAAATATAGAAAGAAAATTGTAACTTTCCCCATACTTTTTGTAGATACCTTTTCTGCTATTCTGTCAGTTTAATGTAATTACAACCAACAAGGTTGTATGTTATTCTTAATAATATTACTGTATAAACTTCTGGTTCAGGAAACATTCATCTAACAACTTCCAGCCCATGAAAAATGTAAACTTTTATATCTCCATTTACTTAAATTTCATCGTTAATATAAAATCAATATCTTGAACAGGAAACAATTAACGAATGATCGACGACTACTGATTTGCCAAACAGGTCTCTTTATCGAAATCGAACAAAGTATTAAATAGAGATAAAATGGCGAACGTGTTTGGTAGAGGGATAGCCTTAGATCTGCGTCAGGAATCATGAGCGGTGCCAAGGAAATGAATTACAGTCAGTAACCGAGGAGAAAGAGCGAGTCTGGCACGGTTTGAGGATGGTAGACGAGGTTGGAAAGGGACAAATGAACAGAAACGGCTCCTTTGGGATTCCGAAGAGAAAGGAAGTTCGTTCCTCCTGCTTCTGGATCGAGATCCCAGGTCTGCTCCGCGCAACAGGAGATTAGAGCTCGAGCGCTGTAGGAAAAGTATATACTTCCTGTGTATCTCCTTCTGTTCTTCCTGCGGGAACAACGGTTCGGCTGATTTTACGGTGCTTCAGCTTCACCGTACCACGTTCAGATATAACGTACAAGTTGAAAAGTTTATGCGAGCCCCGTTTCCGTGAAACGAGTTTAAAACTGTAACATTGCTCGTTTAAATTACTTATTTTTATTACGTAATTTTTCTTGCACATTTTCGGTTAGCAGTCACTCGAATAATTTAATATTCGAATACCAAGAACGTTGTTGAGATTGCACTGTTCGAATATTATTAATTGGGTATTTATTATTCGAATTGTAGTATGCAAGCAACATGGTTCGAATATTATTATTTATTATTTGAATATTAATATTCGAGTGTCAAGATTCGAATCAAGTACAGTTATTCGAATATTCATACTTCAATATTGTTATTCATTAATCAAATGTAATTATTCGAATAATATTATCCACGATTCAAATGTTAATATATATACTATTCAAATAATGTTATCACTTATTTAAATATTACTCGATTATCATTATTCGAACATCAATATTGAAATGATGTTCGAATATCTTTATTCGAATATTATCATCAATTTTGCTTTACTGAAATACAAATATTGTACAGAATCCTAATTGAAAATATGCTTTAAAAAATAAACGATAAACGTAAAGACCTTGGATTATAGCTTAAATGACGTAATCCTATACTTTGTATCTCGACACTTGATCAATGCCTAAAGTATTTAATTAGCTGCGGTACTGCTTACAGCACACGGCTAATGATTAAATGAGGAGGGATTCAATAATCTTACTTCATTAGTTCTCGAGTGATTAAGAGTCACGTTCGATAATTCGTAAGAGTCTCATTAGGAGTTAAATAAATTAATTTCTGTCTTTAATGAGAACAGTTATGTGGAGTGTTTGCCAACGATACACGATTAACAGGTATGATTAATGGCGTGCAACGCCAGCAATGTTTGGCAACCAGTCATAAGAAATCTAATGCGAAAAGCCATGTTATTACTGTGGGTGAAATGTATAATCAGTCACACTACTTGAATTTACACAACTGGCAGCAAGACGCTCGTAACTTACCTGAACGTGGACCATGCGTCATGGATAGCGTTATCTCGACGCAACAGAATATTTACTTATGGGTCGTTTCACGGTGAATCGATCGCTTTTTGCTGACCACGTCAGGAAACTGGGCGAAATTGAAATAAGACGTAGTATGAAAAATTAGGTAGGAGACAAGTTATCGCTTCATTGTGTTTGCTTAGAATTCTTGCGCATATCAGAGAAAACGTGTATAAATAAAATAATGCAGATTAACAAGGCTGTCAAACTTACTCCAAAATTGAATCCAGAATTCCGTTCAGAATTTACTTAAAAATGTAACAGGATGCTCTTACACGTATACAGCAAGAATAATTAAGTAGGTACTGGTTGCACCGATAAATTACTTTGTTGCCAGATGCAGGAATATGAATCTCGTTTGATAAGGCAGAGCTCAGATGGTATAAATTTGACACAATCAAAGACTTGATAATATGACGAATGTGTTTACCTAAAATAATCGAACATATCTCAATATTCTTTTTTTAGGAACATTATCAAACGCCAAAATAGTGTCAATATTGTTAAGAGATAAGTCTCGTAAGTTACATAATTTGAAAAGCTATATTAAAATACATTTACTTTAATTGTTGCGCTATTTGTTTATACGATTTCAATCAAACATAGTCTAGAGAAATACAAATAAATATACTTTTTCCTCTAACTCGATTTCGGGAATTTTATTTCAAAATGTTTGTTATATGTATACACTTAACGAATGTTTTTATTTAGGAAATTGGTGATGTCGATAATTCAATTTTTGATAAGTATGCCAAAGTCTTTTTTAAACTCAGAAGAAAAATGGTGATAAATCGACTCCAAATGAGTTTATATCAGTTTCACATTACTCTAAATCAATCAATGAACAGCGATCCTGTAATTCCAATACATTATTATCGATTTATTCATTATCGATCTTTAACTGTTATACGCTTTCCATCAATAATTAAGTAGGTACTGGTTTCACTGATAAATCACTTGAAATCCAGGTAGAAGAATATGAATTTGATAAGGCAGAGCTCAGATTATACAATCCCGATATAAGAAACAAATGGTTATTTATGACGAATATGTTTGTCCAAAATAATTGAATATGTCTCAGTATTCTTTTTTTTAGGAATATATATAATCAATCGTCAAATCAGCATCTATATCTAGATTATACCTATATTAAGATAAGTCTCATAAGTTACGTAATTTCAAAAACAATTACATTACGTACTATTATGTTTGTACATACTTAACGAATATTTTCATCTGGGACATTGGTCATGTCGATAATTAAATCTTCAATTAGCATGCCAATTTTTTTCCAAACTCAGAAGGAGAAGTATGACAAGTCGACTACAAACGAGTTTAGATCAGTTTCTCACTACTCAAATCTCGTATTTTTAATATCCTACTGTAGATCGAATGCAATGTACGTCGAATAAGTACAACAGACAAATAATAATAAAGTACTGTTCAAACATATATTATTTCACGATGAAAGATTATCGAGAAAGAATATGGTTTCCACACAATCAACGTTATCAACTGTATCAAGAATAGAATTGATTCCAGATTGACACACGATATTCTTTTGCACATAAATAGAGACACTTCATACGTAATTAAAGGGACGATGAGAAAGATATTTTGTTAATTAAATTAATATTTTACTATCCTAATTGTCCTAAAAAATTCCAGTGAAATCATCATTAATAATTGAGTAAATCTGGGACGACGTTTGAAGTACTGTGCAGAGATGAAAAGGTAGCCGTCGGGTTTGATTAGTGACAGTATAATTTCCTAGATTATATAGAATTCTACAGAATAGTATAAATTCTAATATTTTAGAATTCTACTATTGTATATATTAAAGATTATAATATAAAATTCTATAATATAATTAAGGAGATCATGCTGTTACCAATCAGACCGGATAGTCAACTTCTCACCTCTGCATAGTACATGGGTCAGATCAACCAGTTTGGTAGTTGTACTGTTAAGTATCAATTGTTACAATGATTACAATAATACCGTCATACTATAATAAAGTAGATGAGCTTCACGGGAAATAATAATGTATTTCATCACTCATGATTATTTGTTGATTCATATGATAACATTATGTACATTATCAGCTCTCAATAAAAATTAAGATGGTACAGGAACTTGAAAGATACAAGGAGTATATAAGCCGATGTCCGAGCTGATTGGAACGTCTCACATCGTGCATACAAACTTTCAGGAAAGATGAAGCTCTCGATTGTTGCGGTTATTGCTTTTCTAGCAACGGTGGCAACATGTCAAAATTTAACGGAAATCGTACACATCGATAAGGGACCGGTCCGAGGTTTTGTAACGAAGACTGCGTTTCACAATATACCGTATTCAGCCTTCTTAGGAATTCCTTACGCGAAACCACCTGTGGGAGACCTCAGATTCAAGGTAAGATATTGAACAAAAATAGAGCACAGTTAACTTGCATAAAACTAAAATATTAGGTACCGGAAAAAGTTCGTGCGGATTTTCAGAGTAAAATACAAATACTCAAATCTGTTTTAAATCATAGGTTTATTCAACAAAATAATCACCATTTATCGTCAGTTTCATCAATGACTTCATCAATTTCTTTGCAATAAGTGTCTGCAGTAATAGTCTGTCACGTGAAAGAAAATCAACGTGAACGATACCTCGTGTAGTCCACCAAACAGTGATCAGCACCTTCTTCAAATGGAGACTTGATTTTGGTATGGTTCCTGTTGCACACGACCTCTTTTGAACCCAGTGGTGTGATCGTCGTACATTATCATATTTCACTCACTTTTTATCACAAGTTAAAATTCGATCGATAAATGGATATAGCAAATGCTCAGCCGGGAATATTTGTTCTCTTCCGTTAAACGGTGCGGTATCCATGTGCCCAATCTTTCGTGAAAATTAAGTAAATGAATTTGCTTTCTCTACTTACTTGAGCAAGCTCAGAACATCTTTTTCTTTGATTTGAATTTACGTACTCGATGAATTTTTCGTCTTCGATGACAGATGGACGCCCTGAACGCGGTTCGTCATTTACCGATTCATTTCCTTCTTTGAACCTTTTAAACCATTTCTGTGCGGTCGTTTCACTAACAGCACCTTCCCCACAAACGCTACAAATGAGTCTTGCTGCATTTGTTGCTTTACTGCCAAGTTTAAATTCATAAAGAATAAAAGCACGAATTTTTACTCTTTCGCTGTCCATGTTTACTGTTCCTATAGCTACGCAACATCGAAACAATTGAACTCCACAGAGCATGCATACCAATTACAAAGATCAAGCTTTAAAACGAAACCAAACTCATGTCTTACAGTTGCCGATTACCACACGAAAATCGATATATAGTTACAATTAACGAATAAACCGCACGAACTTTTTCCGGTACCTAATACTTCTGAGTACATTTAACGCTTTGCGCTCGAAAGGGGAATCTCAGGGGAATTTTAGCACATACAGGGTGTTCAAAATAAAGTATTCAATATTTATATGATGTATAGGGCACACTGTACTGAGTAAAAAAGCTTTAGTAAACATAGGTCCAAAGGTCAACCGTTTCTGAGATATAAACATTTTTGTTTGCTAGTATCATGATTGATTTATTACTGGGTTTTCGATATTTATAGAAGATTTTCCACGTGTCCACCGCTCATTTCCGTCGACGTTTGGCATCTTCTTCTTACAGAGCCGCGAACTCTCTCGAAAATCCCACATTTCTGTTGAATTATTTGACAAGCATGGTGGATTCCGTTACGTAGTTCTTCTAAGTCATTTATCGGCGTTGAATACACTTGGCTTTTTAAATATCCCCATAAAAAGAAGTCCAGAGAATTTAAATCGGGGGATCGAGAAGACCATGCAACTGATCCACCATATCCAATCCACCTTTGACCGAACACAGTGTTTAAGTCTCATGATACCAGCAAACAAAAATGTTTATATCTCAGATATGGTTGACCTTTGGACCTATATTTACTAAAGCTTTTTTACTCAGTACAGTGTGCCCTATACACCATATCAATATTGAATGCTTTTTTTTGAACACCCTGTATAATACTTACCTGCAAAGAACGTTTTATTTACAATTGCAGCTTCCTATTTAAAACCTCACAGCCGTTCTTTTATCTGTTATTTACAGGCTCCTGTTGAAATAAATCCCTGGACGAATGTGTACAAAGCCATATTAGAGCGCGATGCGTGTCCCCAAATACAAGAGGGCAAATACGACGGAAGTGAAGATTGCCTGCACCTGAATGTATACACTCCCAGGGTAAGTCTCGTAGACGGTGTCAACTAAATATCTTCATCGTTCATCACAAATAATTTTACATTGTACAGATGCTGTACAATTGTATGCACTATACAGATGTACAAACTGTACGCAGTATATTTTATAGTGAATGAATATCCTTCATTAACTTTTCGGTAGACGGATTTCACCAGAAACGCAACCCTAAAGCCGGTGTTGGTATGGATACACGGTGGTGGATTCATAAATGGAGTCAATGCTAAGGATGTTTACGGCCCTGACTGGTATATTGAAGAAGATGTCATCATGGTCGCGATGAAGTATCGTCTTGGTCCTTTAGGTACAAAGAAGACATGCTATGAAATATTTAACGAACTAGGTACAAACGGATGTGTCTCTTATTTTTTTTAGGATTTTTGTCACTGGATCATCCTGACGCACGAGGAAATCAAGGTTTGAAGGATCAGAATATGGCTCTGCGTTGGGTGCAAAAGAACATCGCCAAATTCGGCGGAGATCCTAATCGAGTGACCATACAAGGAGAGAGTGCTGGCGCAGTGTCGACAAGTTATCATTTAATGTCAAAGCAATCGAAAGGTAAGAATATTATGTAGAATTTTCAAGGACATATTTGGTTAATTTAAATTAAAAATGTAATTTTCACGTTCAAAGATTGCTAACTAGGTGGTTCTCAATCGTTTCTTTCAGGTCTGTTCCATCAGGCCATAGTTCAAAGCGGTTCTAGTTTGTGCCCTTGGGGATACAAGTCACCAGCAGCTTCTCGTTGGACTAGCTATGTTTTAGGTAAAAACATGAATATTTCAGCGGACAATGACGATCAGCTGCTGAAAGCACTGAAGAAGGCTGATGTACGCGATATAATCACTGTTGCAACTCCTATGACCAATGAAAACATACCGGTAGGGTTACACTAATTATTTGAAAAATTATATAACAACGTGATATTGTATTGTAGTCGACGTACTAAGATATTCTTTCGTGACATTCCTTAGTAGAAAGTGTTATTCGTAAATAAATACATGTGTCTTTAAACGAACTTTTTCTGTTTAAGCTTCCGCTCAGAATAGCATTCGTGCCTACCACCGAAAGTGGACCTGACGCATTCGTAGAAGATTGTCCTTTATCATACTTCGAGTCTGGAAACTTCAATCAAGTGCCTACTTTGCTAGGCTACACAGCACAAGAGTCAATTTTGTACTCGCTAGGTAATGATAAATGATAAACGTTAGACGAGATAGAAACTATTTTATCTTTTGCTTAGGTTGGTTATACGCAGTGGAATGATTTTTTACGTTCCTGAAAAAGTTGATATTAATCATAGTCATGTAGTTTAGTATTCTACTTAAAGTTGTTCATTCGTTTCGCAATGTTGCGAACTAAGACTAGATAATAAATGTTTGTAAACAGAAACTAAATAGCAGCCTACATGCAATAAGTTGTGATAAAAATTAAAATATTGTATGGGATGCAGTACATTGTTATCGCTTGAAATAGTAAATATTTTTTTTAAAGCTTGCTGTGAATAAATAAGACATTTTATAATAAAAATATTTGTTAGTTGATATTTCATACTTATTTTGAAGTAATGTAATTTAAATACGTACTTTGTCGAGCTTGAACGACAGGATCTGTTTTTGAATTATGTTCCTCAAAGACTTAATTCTTTGTAATAATGAAATTAATTTGCTACTTAAGAGACTTCTTTTCTCTCTCATCATTAATCATGTTTCTGTATGTTATAGGATTGGATTTTGAACGACAGAGCATTCAAGCCAAGTTGCTGAGTGGATCTTCACTTGTAGATCTTACAGGTCACAACCACCTTTTCATAAATACAATGAACGCTATTGTGAACGACACCGTGTGGGAAATGATAAAGGTGCTTCAATTAGTATTTTAATTTTAATTCATTTATTTTTACTAATACTAACGACTTGCTATTTTTAGGCTTCATCATTGTACGTCTTTTCTGGTCCAATGGATCTCATGCATAGGCTTTTGACCAAGAACCCTGGCCATTTGCCTGTCTACTTCTATCGACTGTCCTACGATACAGAGTACAACTGGCACAGAGAAGTTAATCCTAACATTGGCGGTAACTGTCTACTATACTTAGCCTAAAACTATTGGGTTGTCCAGAAAGTTCGTGCCAATTTTTAAGAAATATTCAAAGACACGTTTGAATGTTGATATATATTTATTGAATTATGTATGTACCATTTCGTTCCACAACTTTTCCAAATTTTAAGGGGATGTCCACATGTTATTTGCTTTCAACCATTCCGATATATTCAGATCTGTACCGCCTACTAAAAATCGGCATGGACTTTCCAGACAACCCAACATTTTCTCGTCGAAATTAATATCTTTGAAGTTATCAGATGGCATGTGTATGTCAGACCTTTTCACGATCTATTGTTTTAGGTACGTCTCACGCCGACGATCTTCCTATGACGTTCTACTTTGGTGGGTATCCCAAAGATCCAAACCATCCAATTAATGTTTACGCCAAGAAAGTCACTACAATGTGGGTGAACTTCATAAAATACGGGTAGGTAAACGTAAAATTTTTTAATAATTTCTATGAATTGCTAATCTGTAGGTAGTGCAATGGTCAGACTGCAGATGTTCGTGCAAATTTATATTTTTACGGATATAGAATAAGAAATGAAATTTAAATTAAAGTATTATTGTTTATTTTTTTATTGCGCAACAGGAATATTCTTCGAAATCAGTGACACGACGAAGAAAATTTGTGCAATAATAAAATTTTAATTGGTTACTAGTTAACGCCCATTTAACATCACCTCACATCTTGAATTCTGTTATGGTTGCTTGAAACTAGCACTATATTATGTTCACAGAAATCCTACTCCGTTTGCATCGAAAATAAACGGAACACGTTGGATAGCTTCAGGAAAGCAAGGACTGCAACTGGACTTGAGAAACGATAACTTCGTAATGAGCAATCGCTTCATCGTTGACCGCGACGCGTTAGTTATGGAGAAGTATTACAATGGTTTACCTGTTACATCGGAATGCAAGAATTATCCATTGAGCACCTCGAGAGGCGTGTTTAACTGAGACATGCTGCCAACAGATA